AACCCATGGTAACCATTCTAGGTATTAGGATATGGGAGTAGGAGGGGTGGTCCCGCCTAGGTCCCCGTAAGGACCTAGGTGCCTGGCGAAGCGGGTCCGCGGCTCAAAGAGGGCAGGAACCCCACAACCACATGCTTTACGTATCAGGGAATCGACCAGAAAAAATACCCGAATGACTAGGACCACCGCCTGCAGTTCACGCACATTGATGTGTATCTAGGAACGATCGGAAAAACGCCTAGCTAAATGCAGCCGATCCAAATGAGGGGGCATGAACGTAGCTCCCCATCCCATCAAGGAAGCATCCATTGCAAGTGTGCCCGCGAATAGCACAGCATCGGGATTAAGGGAACGGCCCTCGCACCGATCAATATTGATCCAAGCCTCCAAGTTGAGGCAAGCCTGTGGTATCAATCGGAGGTGATCATACCAAGATTGCTTGCTGCGGAGAACTGCATAAAGGCCTTGCAAGAAAAAGCGGGCCAAGGGGAAGGCCAAGTAAAGGAAGATGGCCTGCCCACAAAAATGAGCAAGATCACGGGCCACCACCCAGTGCTGTTCCCAAAGGATCTCAGCTCGTTCGGCGATTGAAGCCGATTTGTCAAACTAATATAAAAACGACATGCCTTGGCGTCAATCACCACCCCTGTTGCGGCCCCGTCGGTAGCCGCTGGTTTCCAGAGTCGCTGGGCGTCGCCCTGCCCTGCAGCACGGTTGTTGGAGGTCAGCCGGCTTCTTCACCTTGGACGGTGGGCGTATCCGGGGCAGACGTTTTTGTGGTCACGCGGTGGGCCCGATGCTCGACGGGGATCGATCCCCGGGGCCTGCTGTCAGCGAGAGGTGGCGGCGCAGCACGGTGGTGGTTTGCTGGCTTGCGGGAGGCCAGAGTGTGGGCCAGAACGGTTGCACGATTCACAGCATGTGCGCGTACAAATCCGCATGCGCGATGCCCGATCGCGGGTCCATCGCTGTCATATCAAGACAAGACAAGTCAGGTGCACGTCCAGGCACATCGTCACCATCCACCATTCACTAAATCAGCTCCGCATAATCCCCGATGCTTCTATCTACCGGTCCGAATCCCATGCTAAAGTACTGCAACTTCAACTAGCCATAACTTTGCCGTTTCTACACAGAATTGGACGTTGCAAGGTACTTTTTCGACCAACTGTCACTTCAGAAATGCCAATTTTAGCCTAACCCCAACAACCATGTCACAACCCCAAGATGCCTTTTGCTTTGCATTGGGTCCCATTGACATTTGCGGTCCTTAAAAGGAGGCCCTAAAGTATGAAAAATCTCCCGCACCAAATGGGATCATTGGCGTAATTTTGGTGGATTACTCATGGCCGCCAGGAAATCATCGAGGTATGCCAATAAAACGGCAGGGTCCTCCTTGGTATAGTGCACAAAATAACGCTGAATGGAGTCATTCCCCACTAGGCAGCCAAACCGAAATTCGTGCGCTGCTTTGGCACACGATCCGGGGGACCAGAGGAATCAAGTAACCACCAACATAAAATAAGTAAAAAAGTAAGGCAATAAAGAAAGGCCAAATGGCAGGGCCTGGCAAGCGAAAACCTTGCTGCCCATATGAAACTGTAAAAAACAATTATTCTAAAAATGCATCCGCAAATGATGGTATGCATCCTTAATGTCAAACCCAACCAGAAAACAATTTTTTTTGAGCAAGTGACCAAAATCCCTCAATTTATCATAACACAAACCCACTTTGCAAAGGTGATGATTGATCTGGCATAAATCACTGCAAAGCTTGCATTGCATCACCTTATTCTCCCACTTTTTGACCAGAAAAGCGAGAGAAATTCACGACTCATGACCCGGCTCTACCTTGACGATTGCCCCCATAGTCAAGTACTCTTTGTGGAGAGATTCCCATCCTGCCCACTCCTCCACCGAACGGATTAGGTATTCGCCCAGATCGAAGAGAGGTGGAGGAACCTACAGCCCCCATGGCAGTAAAACACCCGAACGGATCCAGTGTAAAATGTGTGATGGTGCTCCAATCCTCCGCCATACCGAGAGCTGTCCGTGAGTGCGGTTGTAAGGAAAATTAGCTACGCATCCGGAGGTAAACGCATTGTTTGAGGGGGGCCCCACCACTTGCCCCGCTTCCCCGATGGGCCGCTGGAATTGGGGAGAGGATCGCCGCTACCCGCCTTGCCCGTGTGGCTGGCCACAGCGGCTTTGGTCACAAGCTTGGCCTCTTGGATGAGGAGCTCCTTGCGGATGGCGCCAAGCGTCCTGTCGATGATCTCGATGGTGAAACCGCCCTTGGGTTCGCTGAGGCAGATCTGAGCTTGCAGCGCCCACCAGGATCCCTCGAGCCCAGTGGTGCAATGCTTGACATGCACTTGGTGAAGGCGTAGCTGATCGACTTGCTGCTCGGTAAGGGCCACCGAGGCGTAGACGTACGGGAGGGGGAGGTCACGGATCGAAGGTGGTAGGCTCGGATAGGCGACCAAGTCCACGAAGGCCATTGTGTAGTCAAACTGCCATGCGACACAAGGCGCCCAGCTCGCATACTCCTGGAAGTAGCCAGAGTTGGGTCCCAAAGCAGCGGCAACGGTCTAGCCTTGGCCTGTCTCCCATACATCAAACCAGGCAGGGAAGGACATGAAGTCAGGCCTGGCGACGCAGTTGTTGACTGACTGCGGGAGTAAGTGGGGGACGGAGACCCACGTGAGCTCTATGGGTCGGTCAGGGAGGCGCTGGTTGAAATGGAGCGCTTGCGCCCACAGCCACTGTTCGGCAGGGCTGGGGTTCATAGAAAGGACTTGGCGCAAAGGCCGGAGGGTCGAACCACTCTGTGGTTCCGGGTTGTGCCAAAGTGTTGGCGCAAAGCAAAACAAGATAAGGGGGGCGCCAAGGGTCGCGCCTAAAATAGCCGCTCCCACTTGCTGCGAAACTCCCTGCCAAACCCAAGGGCCAGCTTGACCGGTCCCCTTGGCTGCATCCAAGATACGAGGCTCCACCCAACTGCCCTTGGATCCGTCGGGCAAAACTGAGGCCGAGTATAGGGGTTGACAGAAACCGGCCGAGTGATGGGCCTGAACTATCCCAAGAGGCGGAACGGCCCAAATTGGCCGATACACGCCCACCCAACGTCGTCCTTGGCAGAAACTCATTAACATGATAGTTATTTATGTTTAGGCAGTCATTGGGCGAGGTGATAAGAAGCAAGATAGTTAGTTGCCCGAGCTGTATGCAGCGCATTTTAAATGAAAGGCAGTTGCAAAATCTTGGCACTGGTGGTGTCAAAGCTATGAATGCCATCCACAGATGCTAGAAGCCCCACTGCGTTCAGCCTGGATGTTTGAGGGCGACAAGGTCTGTTCTGCCGGTCGTTGATGCAAGTCCCGATCTCTGCCGGTGGTGAGCTGCATCGTTTTGACACGACGCCAACTTGATGTTATGGCGTGCGAGCAGCTGCGATCACCAATGGGCGGCCTGCATGTGGGCCTTGTGGGTCACCAGGAGTGAATCCGTCGCCAACTGGCGAGGACACTTCTTTCAATGTGCTACCATCGACAAACGCTTCTTGGTAATAGGAACTGAGGTATTTCTGGAGTTTGTTGTGTCATACCTCTTATATTTGAAGTACTTTAGATTTCAATGAGCTAAACATGGACACTGCTCTGATCGGGCAGAATGAAAAGCTGACGGCTACCTCCTTAGCTTGATGTGTAACAGTGAATGGTGGTGATGAATCCATCACCCACATTTGTCCAAAAGCGAGAAAAGTTGCATTTGCACTCTTGGCGATGCCGGTCATATGGACAAAACAAGAAACATGAAAGACGCGATCTCCATCAACGTCAAGGTCAAATTTCCATAGTGGCACTCTGGATGCCGCTGTGCTGAGCGCGTCATCGCGTTGAATCACCAGTTGCACATGCACCGTGGTAGCGTCAGTGCTTCCTCGAATTCTGGCACATTGCATCCAAACGGAGAGGCCCCTGAGCCGAATCGTTGTCCCGCCAAAAGCCGAGCCGACTTGGCATAAGACCACGTCCCGGCGCCCCATGTGGCGCTCCGTTTCTCAGGCGCACGGACCGTAGAATATCCTTGCCGGCTGGACACGCCCCGCGCAACGGAACTTAACGCCGGCGACTGGCCGCGAATAGCGTCCACTTTACGCCGGCCGCAAACGGCCGCGCGCGACCTCTGACCGGTCAACAGATGTTCAGCGCTCCTTCGAAAGTGCGCCCCTTCCAGGAGCAAAAGCTACCACCGAATGCGCGGATACGATAACACGATTACCTCTTATTACTACACCGCTTGCACTTCGAATAATCGGTTGAGACCCAGTTAGCACAATTCTGAACCAGCCCAGAAACCTGTACGAAATGCGCAATTTCTTGCCAGTGTTCCGCCCCAGCCTTCGAACACAGCGCGGCGCCCCGATCCCATTCGGCCCACCCACACACGCTTCCCTCCGACTTGCACCGCTCCCCGATTTCCGCCACATTTTTCTTGCGCGCCCGATTCCGTCGTCAGCACCCCCGCACGCCCCGCCACAGACACACATCCTTCCCACGACCCACCTCCAGCCGCGCCCAGCGACCTCCAGCCCCAGCAAGCGTTCGCCGCCTTCCCACCCGCCGCGTCGAGGCGTCGAAACCACCACGAGAGGCAGGCAACCCAAGGAGACGGCAAGACAGCAAAACGAAGCGAGTGCTGTGTGGAAGGGTACTTGGGGTTTGGTGCTGCCCTTCTCCTTACCCCTGGTCGGGCTGGTTTGGTAGAGCAGCGGGACAGCCCCCAGGGGTACTCGCTTCGACCCCCGGTCAGACCTCTTCTTTGCCGTCCGCACTTCAACAGCGAGGCGAGAAGCCGCTGACACACGTTATGTGAACGAGGATTGACACGCACTCCCGGTGAGGCACTGAGGGGCTGAACGGGTGGGGCAGGCGCCCTGCTGTGGTCAGGCCGCCCTGTGGCCCCTGAATTGGCCTGTCGGGTGGTCGAGGGGCCCCATGGCGGTGGCCGCCGGCCTGCGCCGCGCGCTGAAGAGCTGTGGCGACGCCGGGGCGCTGCGCACGGCGTACGGCGCCCTGGTGCGCAGCCTGGACGGAAGCTTCCGGGAGGGCCGCGCGGGCCTGGACGTGCTGGTGCTCTGCGCGGAGGCCGCCCTCAAGGTGCGACCTACCAGCTGCTCTATGTACTTACTAAACACCTTATTAATAGTGAGTTCCGTATCGCAGTGCGAGCGGGTAAGTGCGTGGCGGGGACAGCGACGCGCCTGTCTCGGAGTCTCTTTCTCGGAAAGGGTAGATCGCTGTACCTGGGCTTTCGAGGCGACGACAGCAAAGCCTGTGGTGTTGGGCAAGCGGATGTTTCCACCTTCGTCACTGCGCCGCCTCCAAGGCCGGGTGCAATATACCTCAAGGTCCTTAATTAGCCTTTAGGAACGCCTCATGGGAATGGGCCGCGGCGGCCATCCCGAGGGAGAAGCCCGGGCGGTTGCTTTTCCATGGACACGGGCGGATGGCCTCCTACAACGTTGGCTTCGACCTAACGGCGGGGACATCTCGAGTTGGGATCGCCGTGCAGCTGGCGCCTCTGCTCATGGCTGCAAACAATGTCGCATGCATTGCCTCGGATTAAAGGAAGGACGCAAGATCTGGAGCTCTCCTCACTTACCCCCTGTGGACGCGCACGCCATTCTGTCCCTAATCTTTCGAATCGACGGATTTCAGAGGAAGAATTGAATGTATGTCAATTCCTATATCCAAGTCTTGTGCGAGTCTAAATACCTTGACAGCGCTGCCAACTCTCTCCATCCCACCTCCATCCAAATATAGGGCTGAGTTTACAGTCTTGGGAAGTTCCCAAGATTGTAAACTCAGCGCTTGCAAGCACTGATTAATGTCCAATGCTAATCAACGCTTGCAACCGCTCGCGTTGACTGCGGACAATCGTTATGAGACGGTTTGATGGACGCGAGTGGGGGCCACGACGGGGGCTTCGAAGGCAATCAGGATTTGGATACCCTGTGTCCATCCATGTGTCAGGGAGCGACTCCGTCGGTCGGCAGAAGTCGGCAAAGCTGGATCCCAGTCCTGTCCGTCCGCGTCGACGCCCGTGAGCCGTCACTAATGTTCCAAGCGGCTGTGCGCGTCAGTATAATGCCGGGTGAGATTGAAACTGTTTGCGTCGAAACAGCACAGGAAAACTGGAGCAGGTGCTGCCAAAATGGGAGCCTGTACTCTAGCTACACATTTTACTAGGAAGCGTGTCTCATCAGGTCGTCTATTAATGACTTGACTGTGGCGACGATGCTGTCAGATCGGGGAGTTGCATGTCGCCAGCGACTGCCTGAAGCTGTACTTCTCCGAGGCGACGAGGTGAGAAGACAGGATGAGATGGGCGATGCTTTGTCCGCGTTGCAACATGTTGCGCCAATTTGTATTCTGGGACGCCCACGCGCATCATTGCCGCAGGCTGCAGCATTGGTCCCAGCAGCGGACAAAGGGGCTATTTTACGCTTCGCAGCTCGCTAGGCTGGCCAATGCAGCCAGACAAGGAGGCACGCGAACTGCCACGTGTGGCCATTCTGCTGCCGACATTGTCTTGTAAAACCGAACGCCAGTTCAAAGATTTTGCAAAATGGAGCGGGCGATATCAGGGATGTTCGCTGCCTGTGTGCTCATTCTACGACAAGATCCCAATCTTCATTGCTGGGGAAATTGTAGGCGAGCACTATTTAGTTTTAAGAGCTTCACAAAGCTTCCCATTTACCCCGCGAGTATGCGGCGCAACTGTGCTGCAATATTCATGAATAACGCAGTACAGCAACCTGTGGAATGGACGAGACAGCATTGCACCGTTGTTGGACGTGTGAATACGCCAACAGTCTTTGCCATCATGAGTTTCTTCGTTAATGCCACAGCATTTTTCCGTTCGTTCGAACACAGCTGGTGGAATTTTGAGCGCACAATCTGAAATTAAATCCTCAGACGAGACTCTCCAGGGAAAAGCGGCAGCTGTGATGTTGACGTCGTGGACCAATTCCTGTGCCGAGCGCACTACGCCCTCGCCCTCCTGCACCACGAAAATACAAAGGCGTTAAAGGTGCGAATCGTGTGGCTTGAATGAGAATGTGCGGCGACCTGCTTCGCTGAGATTGCCAAAATTGGGTTTTAAACAGATGCAACGTGGAGCGTACCTGTCACGCCAATCGGTACACTCATGGCAGAAACTGGGTGCATTTCTGCACAATGTTTTTCGGAAAACTCAGTTCATGCAATCTGATAACTAGCTTTCGTGCAAAATGTCGGTAAGGGGGTCAAGGAAAACAACAGAACATGCATCCTCTTCTCTTTCTGTGCACTCAGAAATGGCGATGTTGCGCACAAATTTCCTTGTTTTCTGACGGCCAATCTTGAGCACAACCGTTTTGCCTAAAAAACACATAATTGCAATATTGCGCACAAGTGCAGCCTTTCGGACCTTACCGACATTTTGCACGAAAGGCTGTTTGATGGCCCTTAGAGCTAATGGCAGGAGAAAGAGGGGGGTGAGGTAGGGAAAGGAAGAGGGTGGAGACTGAAGAGGTGGTGGCGGAAGTGATGTCGCTTCCGGGTCAAATAAATATAGATAGAAGCTGTGATTCGTGCACTTTCACATCTGCTTCTGCACCGCCTGGTGCGGTGACCTCTGCACAGTACTCTCTGTTGTACATCCATTTATCCGTGTTTCTTTGATGGTTGGGATTTTTCCTACTAAAAGTCGAGGGACAAAATATCCCAAATATTATTGCACTTATTTCGAACTGGTGATCCCCTTTTGCGGCGAGGCACTTGACGTCACGGTTCCAAGCTCAGCTCAGATCAACTCAGCGAAGCTATATTCAGGAAATAGTGTGAAAAACTTTATCTGAGTCTAGAGGCTTCGGAGTTATTCACACCCAACGGAGTGCAAAATATTCATGGGGACCAAACATTCTTCAAATTTGAATATTTAACCTTTGCACAAGGTGTTTTCTCATATTGGCGACGTCGCCTGTCACTGAGTAGAACATTCAGAAAAATGAGACTCGAGAAAAGACTAGGAAATCTGAGAATAGAATAGATGGAATTATTTGAAGGACCCTATTCGCATCATCTTATGTTTGAGTCATCTGCCCATCATTATCGTTCATTCCACTCGCTGACGCTAGAATTTTCCTCAGTAAAGCTCTGTTTTCAACGCAATATATGAAGTACACTGCATAAATAGTGGTAAATGATTTGGATTTCATGTTTCTTTTACATTCCATACTATGAAATATGAACATTCAAATATGGCAAGCCACTGATAATGAGCCTAACTGATCAGGGAGATGCACTGGTGGAAGGCACCCTCAAGGCAATTGAGCATCTCTTGGAAGGATTTTCTATAGCATCAACAAAAGATAGGTGAGGTTATCGAGTAGAAAAATCACTGTTGCTGGAGAGCTGCACGTACTAAGTGGATACTATGATGTGCGGTTTTCAATAATCATTGCAATAGAACGACGCATTTTCATTTGCACAATATAGTCAACATCAACACTGTGCGGATGGGCAGGATCCAAGGATTCAAGAGTATATTGCACTGTTCGCTGCGACCTGCAACCTAATGCTTCTTGCACTTACCAATTATATATGCAATTATTCTCATGTGATTCCAAATCCCACCGCACCAGCGTTTATCTACTTCCTGGATCCTCAATCTCAAGAGAGTCAATAAGCAACATTTCCGCCTTGCAGTATGCGCTCCCTGCTGTGAAATTCAGTTGAATGTGCTTGTCATAATCCCACTCAGGTACCATTTTTTGGTATATAATGGGTCCGTTCATTATTGGAAAGTATCCAGACCTCTCCAAAGGGAAGGGAAGAGAAAATACCTACTTCAGCCGCAAGAGAAGGTGATAGAGGTATGATATAGGGTAGCCCATTCCGCGCCAAGATCACACTACACACTTCCCATGCGAAGCCCTCCAAGGGATTCATATTTGGAGACAGATCAATAACTATCCCACTCGGAAAACAACTTCCAAGCACAATCAATATGTTCCCAGTCATCCATGCCACCGTGCGGAGGTGATATGTGGAGGTGTGAGGGCAGATGCTGGCAGAAGATGCAATGCAGAGCTATTTAGCAGCTGCAAGTGACCTGTGTAGTGTGAGCCTCAGAATTTTCGAATTATTTGAAAAATACTTCAACATTCAAAGAACGTTGATTTTAAGCACCAATCTCAATGCATCCATAATTAACAAAAAACATCATGCATTCTCGTTGTACATCTCAACAAGTGAGTGTCGCGTTGGGTAAAATCATTGAGAAGTACCCTTTAAAAAATGCCTGGAAGTGGATTTCATTTCTAACATCCGGGCGCCCATTCGCCATCATTAATACGGCTGAAGGGCAAACTGTGTGGTGCCTATAGCGCAAAATATAAATATTCATTGCCAAACATGTTTGGAATTAGACAACTGAAAAAGCGATATTTTCATTTTCTAGCTATTTGCTTCTGTCATTGCAAACCTGGGCAACGATGGTGACCGTGGCGCAGGGATTGGACAAGATTCCAGGGCGAGAAACATGGAAAATGAGGCTTTTGATCGGCCTTGCAATGTGCCATGCCGAGAACGGACAAAATGACGCCGCGCTCAAAGACTTGGAAAAGGCTACTATTCTGGAGAAACACGCGGATCCAGAGTTAAAGGTGTTTGCCTTGTCGCATAGTTGAATTATGGAAAAATTGCCCAATTCATATGCACAATTTTTTGCTTCCAATATTGGAAGTAAACATACCAATTCCATACTGAGGCGCGTATCCAGATCTATGCGTATATATTTAATTCCTATACATTACACGAAGATGTAGTCTAAGGATATCCCCCGAAAATAGTAATAGCAAAGATTTATGCACTTACATTTATATATTTTATGGTACATCATGAGTACAGTGAATCCAGCTGCTTTGTCCCCAAATTTATCATATGCGTGTGGGAAAATTCGCTTGTGCCACATTTCACTGGACTAATTTCATAGATCGCTTGAGGTACAGCTTCAGTTGTATTCGCAAGGCAACCTATGAACAAATTATTTCCAAGTGGGTGACACAAAATTCCTGGATTAAACCATGCCCTGACCAGAAGCAATACCGAACAACATCAAATGGAAAAGGTTTTCCAGTAGCCAAATGACACTCTCTCGCAATTTGCTCAAAATTGGCAATTCGAGATTTCCGAAGAGTTTCAAACGTGTTTCGTACTATTTCAACTTGATTTGAGATCGGGTACTTGTGTCCACATGCATCACAAGTCTTGGCGCATAGCGCGTTGGAGAGAAGTTGAATACTTTCCAGTCACTCACCACTTATCAGTGGATACATAGTCAATCACGTACGAAATGTGTGCGAATGAAAAACATGGTTGCCACATGACTTGCAATGTCGCAGTAGTATTCCCAGCAACACGGATATTGGACATGCCGCGATCGAAGGCGGCACAGTAATTCCTGTGCTCCTTGAACTTGAGCCCATCAAGTTTCAACTCAAAGAACAGCACCAAGCCGAGACACCAAACGAGAGCCACAATCAATTCCGTTCGCGCAGGGTCTGATCTGCGAATGCCGCGTGCACATCGGCCAATCGGGCGGCAAAGCGAAAGGGGACCAGACCTCTGGAGATGCCCGCCTGGCCGCCCTGGCCATGGTGCAGCAGGCTCGTTCGAGCAAGCCCGGGGCTGAAGCCGCGGAGAACATTCTGAGAGAAGCTTGGGCCAAAGTAGACCCCGAGCCGCGGGGGTACCCCCGTCAGGTGGACTTGGTGGTGGTGGCGGCCATCGGGTGGGCGGCGGCCACATCGGGGTGTGTCGCACTGGCGAGGGAGTGCTCGCGCAGGGCGGAGCTTTCTCAGGTGACCTGGAGACATGATTTCCTAAGTAATTTGAGCAACTCTCCGTTGAGCAGAACATTTCATTTGATGAAATGGATATTTCATCATTACTTTAGTGCTTTTGGTCATTCGCCCGGAGCATATGCAACGGATGGGTGCTGCTTGGCTTTTGCTAAAGCCCAGATGACGGCTGTGCCAGGACATGAAAGCCAGGGCGTGGAGCCAGCTCGCCGCTGTCCATCTGGAAGCTCGTTCGGATGCGGAAGATGGAGGGGAGAAGAGCTTGCAGGCTGAATCCGTTTGCGCACTCATCAGGCGCCTTGGATCCCTGGACAAGACGTTGGCGGATTTCATGAGGGTGCGGGACAGGCGCGGGGTGCAAGAATGCTGCAGGCTTATTTGGAACACAGGTGATGCGCAAAACCCCAAGCGACTGGAAATCTGCATCTTGACGATTCCGCAGATGGCCCCCTGCTCTACTACTATTCGCCGCACATGTGGCCTCTGTTCCTCATAAAAGCACGCTTGCGCGCGCAGAAATGCAATTCAGCGCTGAAATCCAAGGAATGGGACAATCAATTACCTTGCACAAAGGCGCTGATGTGTCATCTTCGACCATAAGTGATTGAAGTAAGCTATGATATATGAGTATTGTGTGTCGCCTCAAATGCGCAAAAAGCGCATTCCAATCCACCACTTTGCTTCATACGCGCTTGAGCTTGCATATCCCCGAAGTCGAAATTCTTTCGTATTACTGCGTTGGAATTTTTCTGGTGCATTTCCGTCTTCGATGAATGTGCTTGCGCATCCTTAGGACTTGTGCTCCTTCAAAGCAACCTGCGTCATCACGTCAAGAAGGCTTTTGCCGCTGCCGCCACTGCCCTTGAATCTATAGACTCGCCCTGCATGAGGCTGAGGGCCCAATTCCACCTCGAATTAGCAAAATGCAACAATGCGGAGGGTCTCACTTCTTTGGTAGGTGCTGATCTGAGTTTCTGTTCCGTCGAATTTGTATTGAGCACCATATTTTCAAGTCAAGCATTGTTCATTTGAGTCACCGTTGCACCAATCGCATCAATATGTATCCAGGTCGCGTTCCACTCGTCTAACGAATCAATGCCGCAATCCAACGAATATGGCCTCAAGTGCATGTTTCCAGCAATGAAGCCTGGTAGACATATTTTACAGTTTTGTTGTGGATTCAAACGATTTTAATGAGGAGCTCTGGCTACATATTGAATAATTAAAGTGATTTGCTCAAGATTCGGCAAGTAAATGGTGTAATAATTCGCCCATATTTGATGTTGATCCAAAAAGCTAGCCTGAGTTCTATCTGTTAGTAGCAACGATGCAAAATGCTCAAGAGATAGATATGCGTATGGGTAAACATGTTTCATTTGCAAATTCCGATGTCCGCGTCCACATTTTTTTCCATTTTCACCTATTTCTAGGCGTTTTTGGTATTGCCAAAGCGGATTTTCGCGTCAGGATGTGACAATATCGTTTGGCATTTGCAGGTGCACGTGCACGATGCGCATGTCTCATACAAATCGGCTGTTTTCTCCATTTTAGTGCCTTTAAAAAAAGATAAAGTCACGGACCTCGCAACGCGGTGATGGTCGGCGTAACGGCAGCGACAGCCTGTACACTGGAACCCTTGTGCATGCCATCTCAAACCTGTCATCCGATGTCACATATCGAAATGCAGCCATGTACATTCGGGGATTAAGGAAGCGATGTTTTCCACTTGCCTTCCGCCCCAATAGTAATGTTCAATACAGCACAGTTAAGTATTACGTGTCTGGATGGATAATACTGTGAATAAGCACGTACTGCCCTGCAGTTTCTGTAGACATGAAGAACAAATTGGCGTTGCCATTCACCCGAATTTCCTCACATTTACTCATGAGTGAATGCTCTGACCTCATGCATGTTTATATATCTGCACTTAATGCAACCGCAGCTTCAATTTCAAATTTTGCCGAATAACCAGGAATGCTGCATTGTGGGATAGCTATGTTCTACGGAATGTGCATATGCCTCGGTATAGAAATCCTGAAACGAAATTGCGGAAAATGTAGTGTATTATTTCCAGAACCAGGATGGTCTTGCAACATCTGTAAGTAATCACATCCGGTGTTTCTTTCTACACCTGGAGCTCTGTGATTCACAGCCAACATCCGTATCTCTACAAAGTCCATTCAGTGGGCCGTTTCTTTAACACGCAGGCATTGAATGAGGTGAACAAGGGTTATGCCATTGACTACATCGGCAGAGAGGCCGATAAAATTCAGTTTGGCGCCGATCGTCACCTTGATCGCCATTTCGAGCCCATGGCAAATGTATGTCACTATTGCTTTCACAAGTACTACAACCAGTAAGTCTCATTTTCAATCAATTCAATATTATCCTATTGGACTGAAGAGATATTACGACTATGGGTTATGTGGCATGCGATGGAGCGTGACAATATTGTAAAACATTAGTACATATACTGAAAATTGCTCTGTTACTGGTGAGTAGCGGGAAATCACGTCGTGTGGAGTAATATGTACGCCCCAAAAGGTTCACGCCATTGCGCGAAAAGAGATTGACATATTCAATACATCAATTTGATTATTTACACATTATTCACCACGGGGAGTGGAATGAGCAGTAGGATCTTTCTGAAGAAAAGAAAGGGCCAGAACTGTGGGGGTGCTGGAGCTATTGGAACTACCTGAATTAACACACTTGCCAGGCATGGTGTTCACGGTGCAAACACTTTTCTGTTTGCATTTAAATACGCGTATGAACGGTTTTCACGCTCTGCGCGTAAATCGCCATACAAATTGCGTAAAATGTACTTTGTGTAATTTCAAGGCTGTATATGCAGATCCAGTTGTCGGGGGAATTGCAGAAAGATGCGCTGAAGTACTCATAAGACGATCTTTTGCTCGGCGGCATCGTGTTCCTTGCTATGGGTGGGTTGCACTCCGTGCTGCCGGTGTTGGCGATCCGCAAATATGCATAATTACGACCTCAAATATGGCCGTTTTCCTGATTACGCGTTTTGCACGCAAAACCATAAAATCAGAATGGTGCCGTAAAGTTAAATAACAACTTTGACACTTGCCGCAATGGGGAGCGAAGAAGGCTTCGATTCTGGCTGCCGTCTCCTTCGATGGCAATGTGGATGGGCTTCATGTGTCAGCGTAACGAGCCACGTTCAATGTGGTGGCGGTATTTTCAGGCATTGAGACTCACCACGGAGCTCCTGAGCGACATCGAGTCTGCGGAACACAAGGCCAACGCGCTAGTGCAGAAAGCGAGGGAGTCATCAAGCCTGTGCTTGAAGGAGGACTATTTAAAAAGGTGACAGCAGTGTTGCGTGTGACCAGCGTGCATTTGATAAATCTTGGTTTCTAAATCATTGTGAGCGAACGCTTTGGTGCATCCGATTCAGACTATTTGCATCTCGGCCGACATCTGCGTCCAGCACGCCAGACGCACCAGCGATCCCAAGCGAAACCTCGCGTTCTCATCGAATGCCAATAAGCTTTGCACCAAGCCCCAACGGTGCGCCACTTGTGCAGGTCCATCGCATTGTTGGCTGTTCTCCCCATGACCCAATTGATGGCGCCTCCCGGCCAAGGGGAGCCGAGAGGCGAATGGGTTCAGGCGTACCAATCCGCAAGGGAGAGGACCTGCACCTGGGCCAGCATCGTCAAATGCGCCTGGGCAGGAAGGTTGGGTTGCGTCGTCAGGGAGGCAGCGCCCTATGCCATGGCGACCAGCTGGACCGCGGAAATGGACAAGGAAATGCTGATACTGCAGGTAGAGCAGCACTCCTGCACAGCGCGAGGTCAGCCATGCAGGATTGAAACTCATTCCCAACCAATCCCATTCGAGCCATAAGACGACCATGGCACGAACCACAGAATGGATGAAATCCCAACGACAAGGAATATAGCTTAGGAGGTATGCCTGCCCAGGATCGCATTCAATCCCATGCCATCCAAACGCCACGATGCGAAAAAGTGCGGTGCATGGTTCTCCTCCTCAGTTGCAAATATAAACAATTCAGTGATACTTGCTTTCAAAATATGTTGTTGCCATCCGGTGCTCATATCTGCGTCCTCTCAATGGGACTCGGGCTACATTTTGTTTGATGCAAACAGGCAGATGTGAGCCTCTGCGAAGCGGAATCCTGTGTTTTGTGCCTGAGAGATATGGGGGAGGAAGTGAAACCCCCTCAGACATTGCGAGATTTGGAAATACCGGAAAATGGAGTTCGAGCTCCATCAAGAGATGTGGCGGATTTGAGAAACTTGATCGTGCAGGTGCAGAGAACACAAGTTAAAAGTCGGCCAAATTTGGAAGCACATACACTAGGAAAAAAAGGGCCAAATAACACGTGTTCAAACGTGTACGAAGTTTACGGGTTTGTGTTATTTTTGTGTTCTTGGCGTGTAAAACTATGATAAAATGTGTTTTATGTGTGTTCCCAAAAGTGTTATTTGGCCCTTTTTTTCCTAGTGATAATAGTCATGTAAAACAGTGCCAAAACGTGCAAAAATCATGTACACTCACTCAATCGCTACTACATGGTTTGGCCGTATTTTTAAACGATAAATACACGATCTTTTTACAATTCTCAATCGTGTTGCACAGTACGCAATTTTTCAAACCATGTATTTTGGCCTGTTTTTACTTGTGGAGTGGTAGGCGCTACCACGGGCTGATATGCCAACTGTGAAAAATTCCCCTTGCGATTCTTTCCAGCCCCTGGTGATTCTTTGGATGCAAAATGATGAAATATGGGAATTTCAGTGCTCATATGTATCCTATGGGCATACGCTGTCTTATAGGGCAATGCATCTCTGGATAGGCCACAAACAAGTAACAAGATTTTCGTAATTGATTCACATGAACATCTAAAGTTGCAAGTTGGAAATCAAACAAGTAATTGTTTCCCTTACTGAAAATTTGAAAAGTCATGTGAATTTGGCTGCCCATATGAGAGGACGGTAAATGCCCATGCTCAGAGTAGCGCTTTACTCTCCGGCTATTCTGCCGTTATTTTTACTAATATAAAAAGCACTCAGACCCAAGGGAACTCTGAAAGCCTTTATTCACATTTTGCATGGCATGGTTGGATTTCATTCAATTTCCCAATTGAACTACCCATCCATCATGGCATGGAACAAAACGGATGGATTTATCACAATTGTTACCTGAGATACTCTATGCAGATTCTGGTCATCTGGAGTTCATGCAATCTGAGTGTGCCGTAGGAAGAACATAAAAGCGTCTCATGTACACACACCATAGTGCGAAAAGGCATGTATTCTTGAACTGCAGATCTTGAGCTGGTCT